CAGTGGTCCCTCTTATTAGGAAGTTTCCAGCTTTGGGACTGAGCAGCTACTGGATTGCCTGGCTCTCCAGCCCACAAAAGGCCACCGTAGGACTGGTTAGCATCTGATCATGTGAGCCAATCTAATAAATCCCCTCTTATATACATCTATATAGACATATGTATCCTTTTGGTTATATTCCTCCTGAGAACCCTGATACACCTGTGCCTTTTAAAAAAAATTTTAACCAGGAATTATCTTCATTTTTACATTTATAATCTCCCAAATCTCCAAATCCTTCAAGATCTACTTCAGATGTTTCATGCCTTCCTCAAAATCTGCCCCATTTCCTCCCTCATCAGAATCAAGCTACCTTTTCTCCTGAGCTCTGCTTTGCACAGTAGTACTTTTGCCCAGTAGTACTTTATACATCTCGTTCTTATTCTAAAGTATGACTTTCAGATTTTTATTATAGTATATAAGTACATATCTTCTTTTCTAATAAATCCTGAGCTTTGAAATAGTAGGCTATCTCTTGATTCATCTTCACTAACTTAAAATGATATGTTACATGAATTACTACTTGCTGAATAAATACTTTTTTAAAACAGATTTAGGTTTTCATTTGTTGTCTGGGTATAGTAAACTCTGCCACTATGTTCTGAGAGTTTTTAAGTGGTTTAAATCATCTTTTCCATGATCAACTTTCATAGTTTTCCTGGAAATCTTCTGGACCCAAGGAGGGGTCATGATATCCCCAATATATGGCCAGTTGGTCAAAAACAAGTAAAACAAACTGGGGCTTGCAATTGGCACTAGAAGTGGGGAGAGTCCAACTGAATCCTCTACCTGTGGATTCTGACACTCTCTAGGTATCCACCTGACTCTCCAGGTATATAGTGTCAGAATTAAACTAGAGGACACACAACTGGTGTCAACTGCTGCAAAATTGGCTCCCTCCTTGCTGGTGGGAGAAGTCCTCACTCTAGTATCCCAAGTCTTCTGTGTTGACTATGGTGAGAACAGAGGAGAACACTTCATTTTTTCCTAGACACAAAAGTATTCTCAGGCTTGAGTGGCATTCCTGGTCTTCAGTTGATTTGCTCTGCCTCTGCCTCCAACTGCATCAGGTACTGTCTGATCCTCTACACCAGATGGACCCAGTTCAAGTTCCATTTCTTCCATAAGTCAGTCTTTAGGGTCACTCTCTTCCAAACATTTTTAGCACCATTCTCTGTGCCAGTCATCATCGTTGAAATGGGTACCTTGTGTGTACTCGTTTCCTTCAAGGTATATTATAGGACCACAGCTTACGCTTCAGTGAATACCACCACGTGGCAAGGACACCACTGGGTGGAGGTTCAGAAAGCATTTGTTCTTGATAATTCCTGATAATTGCATGAAAGTACAACATAAGGCAGGTCCCCACAACTGCTCCTCCACTCAGCCACACAATTCAAATGGGTAAACTGACAGATAATGTAGAAGTATTAGTGTTGTTTGCACAGCATAAATCCTGGTATTCTTCATCTTCATTCGTTATGAGTCATTTCTTGGCCATGGTGCTCATATAGGAAACCAGTCAAGAAGGAAGGACCTGGGGAATGGTGTCAGAAAGACGTCCCTACCCATGCACCATCATCTAGCAATAAATCTAAAGAGGCACTGTGTGGCTTAACTTTTTGTCTTCCAAATTATGTGGAGTGTCTTATTGTGTCCTTTCCATGACATATACGGCCTGTTTTAATCTGGCCCTTGCCCTCTTCTCTAGCTTCACTGAAGACACTCACTTCCTCAGGATTATTGGTACTAATTATGTATGAGGCACTGTGCCTGGATCCAGGATACAAGATGAACAGGCTCTTCCTGGACAGTCTGCAGCTCAGGAGCTACTCTCCAAGCTCACTTTACCCCACACCTTC